CCCCCCCCCCCCAATGAAATGATGTACTTTTACCTTGTATTTGAACCTGGAAAAAAAACATGGTATAAAATAGTTTGAAAAGTGTTTTTATTATTGTTATCATTGTGTAGGCTGACACATTGTCATTATTTTCATTTATCTTTCTCTCCCTTGTTTGTTTTTTATGTTTGTTTTTGTTTCTGGCTTCCAGGATGAAGTTTGCCCCAAGGCTACAGAGGATACTATTCAGCGGTGTGTGTGGGCGTCTGCTGTTAATGTAAAAGACAAATTCATTTATGTGACTCAGCCCACTTTGGATAGAGTGCTCATTGTTGATGTACAGTCTCAAAAAGTTGTGCAGGTACCTCTCCCAAATTTGGAAATTAAGTCTGCATGCATAACGTGTTTTCAGTTGTTTATATTTTTTTAAGACAGCCAATATAGAATACCTTGAAAAAAGAGTGTTCACTGATCATTGTCAGTGATCCCTCATGGTCGAAGATGATCGCTCCTGTGAGGGATCACTGATGATGATCAATGGACACTGTTTTCCAAAAACTGTTTCAACTTGGCTGTCTACAATTAACACTGAACATTATGGCTAAATACAGGCAGACAAAAAAGCTTGAGGCTGAATCGATTCAATCTTTGCAGGTTAGTCTATGCTGCATAGATTGAACTGATAAGCAAGTGAACATTCCCTTTTGATTCCAGAAATGCAGCCACATGCCTGTGGTGTCCATGGCTAGAAGCTGGGTGGTGCTTAGAGCACTCTTCTCTGCTCAGCTGGAACAGACAACTTGAATCTGGAGGGGATTTGGGACAGAAGTTCAATAAGCTGATTTAACCTAAATCAGTTAAGTCTGATACTACACATCCATCCAGGTTTATCTTAAACCAGTATCAGCCATTTTGAAAGCAGTTTGTGTGTACTGAACGTGCGTTGTGTTACAGGTTTGAACCAGTTTCTGATCACTTATACTTGTTTATGTGTAATTTCTGTCCCAATCTGAAATAAGTTAATGATTCTTTACCAGTGTTTTCCCTTTGGTTATTTGATAATAGTACTTATTTTGTCAGTTTCACTATTTCTCCATTTAGAGGCAGTTAGTAAAGGAGAAACAATCAGAAAAGAACTTTATAAATGTGAAAAAATTAGGTAAATGGACCATTTGCATAGTTTCCAGTTAAATTGTTTTTCACTGGAAAATGCAGTCATCAAATCTGAAACTTTTCATGGGTGTGTGAAACTTGAGTTTTAAAAGGAAAGGTCCAGGATGGACTTTCAGTTAAAGGACAAGACACCTACCAACAATCTAGTGTTTAAAGGACTAACCTCGGTGGCTGAAATGAAAATTCATGTTGGTGGTCTGAATGAGGCAAAACCAGGCTATTGATAATTTTATAGTGTGTATCATTCAGTCACCCCCATTGGAAATATCCCACTTTCATATAAACATTATAGCCATTATCATAGGGATTTGACCCTTGAAGTCCTGCATCCAAAGTGATGGTCCTAAGCATTGTGACCACAGTTCCCAGTGTCAAAATTGTCTCTCTTAATAATATCTCCAGTTGGAGCTGTCCACCCTGTGTCTCCACCCTGTTTATTGGATAAGAGAGAAACTGACATCATAAACCAATGGTTATATCACTCATTTTGAATGTGGGAGACCAAGATAAAAATCATAGCACTAATGAATATTTTGTATTTTATACAAAGTGGAACAGTTTCAACAGCAGAGATTGAAAGGAACATGACACCCTAAAATCATCAGTAGTCTTGATTTAGGGAAGTGAGAAGATCAAATATTTTGTTGAATCAGGCAGACCAGGGCTTTGAAGTTGGTCTAGTATATTCTGGGTAGGGGCCTTAACTGCCACATGGTTGCCATATGGCTTCTCCCTGTCACCCCCCCTCACCCTCCCCATGGAAAATCTATGTCTTTTTTGTTTTGTTCCCATGCATATGGTACAATTTTTAAATACCATTTTTATTTTGTCAAGTTGTCAATACGTTCCCTATTCAGCTCTAAGTAAAAGCCTTATTGACATTTAAAAATGGAATTCCATGGTTAAAAGAGTATTTTGCCAGCAAATGATTTAAAAAATAAATAAATCGATTAAACAAACTCAAATTGAAGGTGTTGGATGATGTATAAGCCCCGGTGGAACAGATTCTAAACACACATTTTAAAAAAAACCTGCATTTAAAAAACGTAGTACAAGACTCTGAAGATCAGTGGAAATGAGAAGCGAGGTGACTTTAAGCCAGTTCGTGCTTTTATGTTCTGGGCTCTTGTGGAGGTGGTTGCAGCACTTCATAAGTTATGGCAGACTGTCCCTGGCTTTCTATAGAAGCACTTTGTGAGATACCCACAGACCTCAGTAATGTTGCCTTGCTTCCACCCAACCTAACCTCCCCTTCCAAAATCCATTAATGTGCTAGTGAGGACCCTCCCTTAAAATGAACAATACCTGGACTTGAATCCTTTATCTGAACCAGATAGTTTTTCTGTTATTTGTTTTTTTGCACATTCAGAGAAGCACCCTAACAAAATGGGTCTTTACTGGCTGCTAGATTTGGAAAGTTGTCCTGATCCATCTGTGACTCTGAAAGTTTTCCTGAAAAACTTTTATTGAAACCACCGTGTTTCCTGGAAGTTTCCATTTTGGAGACCTGAACTTTTCTTGTGAAATACATATTATATTAAGAAAATTCCAGGTCAGCTGTTCCAAGGATAGATTAAGGTACTTTGCACCGGGCAGTTATTCCTTAGTTTAATCTAGAGCTCTGCCAGGTCCTTTGGCCTTTCATAAACTGTTCAATGGTTCTGGCAGGGGAGAATCTTTCCCTATTGACAAAGAGTTTTGCATTTTGGTTTGTTTGACAAAGGTGGATATATTTTGCTGGAGTTTAGTTCTGGTGTCCTTGTCCCAAGTCAGATTGATGTCAATGACTCAATAGTTTTTACTTGCATAATATATATTTCCATTTAGGACAATGAAAAGACTCTGATTACTACAGACCTTGAGACCGTACTTCTTTTGAGCTCAATGGGATTATTTTATTTAATGGCAATTAGCACAGCCTTCTATCAACAGATATATGAAATGAGCAAAATGTCTGTATATGCTTTGAAAATAATAGCATGAGCTTCATGAGCCTTAAATATCACAATATCAAGATATTATTTAAATGATAAAATCTCTAGTGTTTACAGCTGTTTACAAGACAGATACAATTTGCAAGAGGCAAAATCGCAATCAATTTCTTTACTGGTTCTATTTCAGTCTGGTTATACAAAGAGACATTATAGTCCATTTTTCATTTTTAAATCAGATGCGTACAGTGGATTATTTTTCAGTATACAGTCTTTAGTCTTTTTAGACTGTTGGCATTTGACCAGGAAAATTAGCCTTATTTTGCTTTCAGCTACAGCAAAGGTCAGTGAATTACAGGCACACAGTTTAGGATTGGCAACAATCTTCTGCCCTCAGTGGAATTTTCTAACTGCAGTAGATTTCAAAACATGTAAAATCATCTTTAACTTATTTCAAAAGTAGATTTAGCACAGCCTGAAATAAATTTAATTCTGATGCATGGAGCTTTGAATCCAGTTAATGAATAAGCCTCATAACTTGTTAGCAATTCCCTCATTCTCGGAAGAAAGGCAATTATATGTGAAATTAATAGAAGGGGTCTGTGACCTCACAGTGGATGTTCAGATTTAAATTTTAATCATACAAATGTCTAGAGTCTGAAGGGTTTGCACTCTATATAATGTAATACATATATAAAACAAATATTTTAATCAAATGTAATCTTCATATATAATAAAATCCCAGTGTAAATGATTAACTAAACTTTCATCTGAAATTTAAGGATTTTTGAAACCTTATTCTGTAGACAAATCCAATTTGTTTTCTAGAATATCTAACTGTCATTATAAAAATTAATGGAATCATCATAAAAGTACCCAGGCTTTAAAATTATTTTTAAACTTAACACAACTGTGATTTATTTTTCCCATTTTAGGTAGCTACATATTTTAAAAACTGTTGCATTTTAAAGCTAATTGTTATATTTACCATCATGTAATATATGGCTAGTGCACTAACCAGCACATCAATACTGATTATTACATTAAAATCTTAAAATCTTTCAATTTAATTATTTAATTTGAGAAAGGTATTTTAGAAAATATTTTGTGATTTTTTTAAAATTTGGTTTTTTGTTAAAGAAGAGAGACTTCATTTGATTCGATGTTCATATCACAAATGTTACTGAAAACATTATCAGAATATCCAGAAAGGTGCAAGGGTTTCTTTTTTCCTTTACTAAAAACAATTTGAAATGGGAAAAAAAACCTGATAACCAATGTTAAGATGTTTTTGGTAATTTTTGAAAAAAAATAATAATGTGAAAAGAGAGGCAGAAGTTAGTAATGAACAGAATGAAACAAAAACATCTTTGATATTTTGAAAACTGCTTAGATAGCCAGGCTATGGCGTCGCAGATTTAAAATCTGAAATTGCTGATGAAAATTTACAGTTTCTTGATTCTGAAATTAGTTAATCTTGTTGCTTAGGTAAAGCTAAAGGGTGAAATCATAACACCATTGAAGTAGTAAAATACCCTGTGGAATCAGTATATTATGCTCTTGAGTAAAAAAAAAAAAAATGCATAAATTGGAGGTCCTCATATATTGTGGATTTATGAAATTGCATAACTGGGTTTTTGGTTTAATATTTTACATTGCAGATTTAAAAGCTGAGGCTGCTGGCATCCCCTGCTCAGCCCAGCCTCTCAACACTTAAGAAAACAAACAAAAAAAGCCCCACACTCACCTGCACTAGCAGCTGCCATTGGGGGCCTCTGAGGGCTTGTGGCAGAGCTCCCACATGGGGTAGTGGGGGCCAGAGGGGATTCCCTAGCACCTGCATGGCAGCTGCAGGTGCCACACACTGTCCAGGAGCTGGGGTGGCTCCACCTGTCGGCCAGAGCCTGGTACCACTCAGTCCCAGTGGCCCCAGCGCCTAGACAGTATGCAGCACCCTGACAAGCTATGCTGCACCCATGCCATGGGGCAGCTGCCACACAGGTACCAGGCAGGGGGGGCAATCCCTGCTGCCCTCAACTGCCCTGCACTGTGCAGGGGGGCTCTGCTACGAGTCCCCAATTACCACTGCCAGAGCTGGTGAGTGCAGGGCTATTTTTTTTTTTTAAATTAATTGCTGGGATGCTGGGTCTGGGCAGGGCAGCCATTGCGGGTGGGACTGG